GTAGAAGGCAAACTTGATATTCACCTCCTTTTACTTAAAAATCTAGGTGGTTCAACAATGTAAAATAATTCTGTAAGGAGGAGGTTTTTACGTCCATTTTTTCTAACTCAAGTTAGATTGAGCCATCATAGGTAACATAATTTTGATAGAAATGTGTCTGACTACTGGTGGGAATAATTCACTATAGTCCCCTCCTTGTTGTGTAAATCCATTTGTGACCAATCTGAATCCATTTGTGACCAATCTGGCCTCGTGAAAACTCTAACCACTTAACCAGCTAGCTAAATGAACTTATGACATATTAACTAAATAACCTATCTACCAAAGTGGTTTTTGATCTTCTACGTAGTCTAGAAATGGGAATGGGTCGAGTTGAGCTGGCTTGTCCCTTGCAAACGTGAACTCAGCTCATGCCCAAAAAAGAGCTCGGCTTGGCCCTAAGTTTGTGAGCATATAGGTCAAGCGAAGTCCGCGAGTTAGCCCATTTTTATTCTTTTTTTTTTTTTTTGAAAAACCTCCTCATTCTCTCTGGCTTGAGATCGATTACTTTTAATATGGGCGGAGTTAAAATTATATACGAATAACTTGTTAAGTGTATAATTTTTTTAAAACGTGAATAGTATTTAAAAATTGACATATTATAATAAAATTAAACATCATTTAACCAATCACATAGTATTTGATCATATTTATCTTGGACTCAGTACTTTGCATCTTTTTAATCTTATATATACATGATAATAGCACTTTTGTTACATTTTTCACCCATTAATATTTGCGTTTCTATGATTATTTGACGCATAAATGCACTGAGTACTTCTATATCTTGGTTTATGTTGCAAATTGGTGAAAACGGTGGAAAATTGAAGAGATGAGGGAAATATTAAAATGTAAGAAAGTGAAAGTTCAGGGACTATAGTNAATGGAAGAAAGTGAAAGTTTAGGAACTAAAGTGCAAATGCTCAACAATTGTGTCAGAGCTCACGATGAAGGTTTGAGAAAGCTAAGGATCAATTGGATGCAATTAGAAGTAAAAAAGGAATGGAATATGATCAAAATATTATCAAAATCAATTTTCAGTTCGCACAAGATATATTCCAGATTTTTAGCTGAAAATTGAGACTCATTTTTGCCATAGTAAAATTCATCTAACAAAGTTGCAGTTCTTTAAGTTATCTTTCCAACACATTTTGAACCTTGTAAATCGGATATTGGAAGAGAAGGTTATAACCAAATTACTGACTGCTGTGCACAGACAAAAAATCCGCGCGCAAATGCAACTTTCCTTATTCGATTAAAACTCTTTTGGAAACTAATTTGGACGTGATTTTCATCCAATTTCCGACTCCTACAAATACTTAACAGCAGAATACATATGAAGGAAGCCCCGATACACCATTATTCTCCTCTTTGGCTCAAGAAACTAATGGAGAACTAAAATCTTTGGTGAAACTACGAAGGAACTCGATTGGAATTGGTGATTTCATATCTTTTATTCATTTAATTTGATCTTTTCATTATCAAATAATGTTAGAATTTAGATTTTCATTCTTTTGAATTTATATTGAAATCGGTTTAATATTTACAAGATTTTTCAATATATTAAGTTCTCTAATATATTTTCTTTTAGCCTTGATCTAAACTTGAACAAATCTTGATGTCTGTACTAAAAGCAGACTTTGATGCTACAATTCTAATTGAAAGTATCAGTAGATCATCATGTGCTATGATAGAAATAATTGAATATTGATGCTCGTTAGTTCTCCAAACTAAACCAAGTCTAAATCTAATGCACCAGACTGATCTACAATCGTAAGCATGTAGTGAGTAAAATATCTAGCTATTTCTATTGCTATTCCACATGCACCTACATTCATTGTACTTCAATTGTAGGAAGAAGAAGTATCAGTATATCTATTATTACTTTACAATTGGAGTCTAGACTCTAGATGCTGAAGGTAAGTTAGCGGTAGAGGTGGGTATGGCCGGATGCGTAACATTTGTACCGAATCTTTGTGTTGTTTCAATATTCTTTTGCCATGCTAATCTTACTTTACAATACTTACATATTAGTTGCATCTAATATGAGTTTTGAAAAAAATTAACCCATGTCTAGGAAAGATTTTTTTTCAAATTTTTAGTGAATCTTATGTCGTTATACGATGTATGTCAACGATAGGATAGCCGAAATTATCGACCGAATCAAGTAAAATGATCAATGTGACATTTTAACATTTAATTCATTCTTCTTGATAAAATGACATTTTTGTAATTTGTTTCACGTTGAGTCAATAATTACATGACAAATGAGACCCACCTACATTTTCAATGATCAAAAATTGAATTAAAATCTTGTAAAATCCCTCTCAAACAAGGCTAAGTTTTTTTGTAACCATTTAAAATTACAAACATGCTACATGTACATTATGGTTGGCATCTTCATTTACATTCTTTCACATCTCACCATCTTATTCTTTGATTTTTCCAACAATTTTTCACATCGCTATCATATGGAGATGTCAATCATGTGGTCATTTAAAATTAAGGGAAATTTACAAAAAATGTCTAATTTCATGTTTGTCAATTAAAAAGTGTCTGATTTTTACAGCTCTTGCAAAATGATCAAATTTAGTACTAAATTGTCTACTATATCCTTAATGAAAAATGAAGCATTTTTTTTTTCAATTTGTCAAGAATTTCGAAAAGAAGAAATAGCTTCTATGAGAAATTATATTAAAATGACGTTCTTGACATTTTTATAGTTGTTATCGATATTTGAACTCTATTTATCTTGATACTTTATTTGTCTAGAACAAGATGTCATTCCTAACATGATAGTTTTCTACATTTTATAAAATTCTTAATAATTGAAATGTAATTCTCGATATTTAATACACGTGTCAATGAGAAATATAATATTTATTGTGATTTGACATGTGTACTTTTGAAATAAATTGGATAGGTCATGTGTCAAAATTTTATTAGCCAACAAAAGTTTTAATTTTATGCACATTTTTTCTTGGGATAATTGCAGCAGCAGTACCCAACCTTTCATTTAGTAGCAGATTTTGCTCAAACCTTTAATTTGTGCCACTCACGATACCAAACCTTTTATTTTTGCCACCAACGGTACCAAACCTTTCAAAATGTCCGCAGCTGAAGTCCAAATGGATGATTTCTGTTAGTTTGATCGTTAGTTGACCAAATAATTGATTTTGACAATAATGTTGATTGATTTTAAAAGGTTAAAATGGTAATTCTATATTTTTAATAATAAAATAATCAAAATCAAATAATTAAAATTAAAAATTCATTCCACATTCTTCTTCTCCACCCACCCCAAATATGCAAATTTGGGTTTGGAACTTCGAGAACCTTCAACAAGCTCGGGAATGGAGTCCCCAAAACCGAATGTGCTCTCTTCTGCAATGGTAGTGGCTCTAAAGAAATCTGTCTTTGCATTTAGCCCTAAACTTTATCTTGATTGACCATGAAATCAGAAACCAAAACTTAATCCAAAACAGTTCATCTTCTTCCCACCCCATCCTTACCCTCACCTTCCTTCACACAACCCCAACCAAACGAACCAAAATCCACCCACCTCCACCATGCCGACAATCATAATCCACCCACACAAAGGCTGTAGTGACCGCCACAAGCGCCCCCGTAAATTAGCAGCAAGAAATGGACCCTACCAGAAATTTGCTTAGACGTCATACAGAAAATTTTTAAGTCTTTTTCAATCTCTTATTTTCCTATTTGGTCAAGATAGTCTCTTCGACAGACCATTTCAGCAGGAAATCCATATTTTTATCCAGGAACTCCATTTCTAATTGGTTGTTAAGTACAAATCTCTAATCTGGCCTACGTAGATCTTCATAGTTGGGCTACAGGTTTCTGTCGCTATGGATTTGAGGATTCGAAGATGTTGATTTCCCAGATTTGCAGATTTGGGGTGGGGGTGGAGAAAAAGAAGGTAGAATATGTTTTTAATTTTAATTATTTGATTTTGGTTATTTTATTATTAAAAAATATAAAATTACCATTTCAACCTTTTAAAATCAGTCAACATTATTGTTAAAGTCAATTATTTGGTCAACTAATGGTCAAACTAACAAAAAACCATCCATTTGGACATCAACTATAGACATTTTGAAAGGTTTGGTATCGTTGGTGACATAAATTAAAAGTTTGGGTAAAGTCTACTACTAAATGAAATGTTTGATACCGCTGTTGCAATTATCCCTTTTTTTCTTTAATGTGGAACTATAAATTGTTAACAAATGTATTTTGGTTTAAAATATTGTAAAATTGACATTGAACAAATTTTGGACATTTTTATAAGAGCAATGTTGCTCATCCAGGACCAAATCTAGGGGGTCGAGGTGGATGCACCTCGACCCTTGATTTGAATTCATGTGAGACCTTTTTTTTTTCAAATCAGGGACTGAGGTGCCCTGGATTCTGATTGGTCATTGATCTTGGCCGACCAGCATTAGCATCCACCTCGACCCTTGATTTGAATTCATGTGAGACCTTTTTTTTTTTTCAAATCAGGGACTGAGGTGCGCTGGATTCTGATTGGTCATTGATCTTGGCCGACCAGCATTAATGTTTTTATAAATGACTAATGGGACATTTTTTGTTATTTCCTCTTAAATTAATTGTAAAGTAGACTAGACACTAGACAGGCACCTTGTACACGTGTTAAGTAGTGCGTAGAGTCTGATTGGTGAGTTTAGTTGAAGAGGATCGTGACCGCATGAACCGTTGATCTGATGGAAAGTGACGGTCAAGATCAGCTGCTACGAATATCTTATTCACCGTAGATCCATTAAGAGGCTGAAAGTAGTTGATTTACTGGGCATGGATCGTCAATATTCACCGTCGATTAACACATGAAATCCAACGGCTCTAAACACTCAAATTCTCCTTATAATCAACCCCGATTCACGTATTATTTCTCGTACATCTCAATTTTGTTGTGCTTGAGCGTAAAAATGTCTGGAAGAGGAAAGGGGGGCAAGGGTTTGGGAAAGGGCGGAGCAAAACGCCACCGTAAGGTGCTTCGTGATAACATTCAGGGCATCACAAAGCCTGCGATTCGGCGTCTGGCCCGGAGAGGTGGAGTTAAACGCATTAGTGGGCTCATCTACGAAGAGACTCGTGGTGTCCTTAAGATCTTTTTGGAGAATGTTATTCGCGATGCTGTCACCTACACCGAGCACGCTCGCCGGAAAACTGTCACTGCAATGGACGTTGTCTATGCGCTGAAGAGGCAGGGCCGAACA